TATTTCAAAAAGCTGATGGGACTTACGCTTACATGCTCGAAGCCTCCAACCGCAATCACCTTCCTTGTGTTTCACACACTTCAATGCCCACACATTTGTTTTCGTTTCAACTACTTCATACATGCGGTGCCTCTTAATAGAGTAAAGCTAAACAACCCTTTTCAGATCAGCCTTATTCTTAAAAATTAACCCTTTCTTTAACTCAGCACTTGGAGTCCACTCAACGGTTGGCTGTGATAATGACCAGGTACTAGTCACATCATCATTAACAACATCAATATTGTTGAAGAAAGGAATATTATCTCCATGTTTTTCCTCTCCAGACGCCACGTTGTCCTTTTCATTTTCATTATTCAGTTCCTCATCATTCTCACTGTTTTCCTCATAATCTTCCTCTTGTTCAATACATTGTTCTAGGTCAACAGTCTCATTATCAACATTCATGTCAAAAAACATAGCTTCACTTTCAGAATAAATCATTTGTTGCACTGCATTCATGTTCATGCTTAGAAAAGTTGAATTAAGTTAACAAAGAAAATATTATATTACGTACAAAAATAAGAGTGATCAATTTCAAATAATTGAATAAAACTATAAGTTTGATGCTATAAAAAAACAATATGAATTCATATGTTTAAATCAAATATTAAAAATATCACAAAGGAAAACAGCGAGATACATTCAAACAACTAAATTCTCAGTTAGCTTAAAGTACAAACCGATTACAAGTAAATGTGCCGGTATGAAATAAAGTATTTTAATATGAGTAAAGTCTTATTCGTATTATCATGGCAACTAACACGGACTACAAAATTTTATGTATTTTGTATTATCGCATCAGTTTACGAGGCTCCTAAAAATGAAAAATTAATTGAATAAGTCATAAACTTTTCACTTTAATTGTATATGCCTAAACTATTTTCAATGTAATTTCTATGAAAATCGAACGTGAGGAGCTGTAAAACTAATTTTGAAACCCAGAAATTTGCAAAACGATTAGAAGAGTTGTGATACGCTATTAATTAACAAATGTTTATTGAATAATCATTTACATACCTGAACCGGAATAGGAGAATTAGAGGAAAACGAAGATGTGATGAATTTGGAGAAGCCGACAATATCCGTAGAAGAAGCAGACAATATCCGTAGAAGAAGCAGACGAGTCGACTTCTGTGCAGTAGCAAACGCAAACCCTAAGTCTAAGGAATAATAAACTCCTTGGTGTATTTTGTAGAAAAATGATTACGCAAGTGTGTGGTCTAAATCTTCATGATTCAAATAAATTTAGAGACGAAGATTTCACAAGAAATTGTATTAGCGTAGTGGCATTAGAATTGGGGCGTTAATCAGCTTACCTGGGTTCGAATCTCGTTGGGCTCTTATTTTTTTAAACTAGCAGAAATCTGAAATTAATATGTGGCCAGCAAATTAAATGACGTGGAATTAGTGACGTGTCTGATTTATGCTAAAAAAATACTGACATGGCATGTATGACCGGATGACAAGGCAAAAACTCCCCTTGTTTGGGAAATAAGTTAAAAACTACCTTGGTTTGAGAAATAAGATTGAAAAGTACCCTCCCTTGGGAAAAAACTCCAGAAGTGAAGATGAAACTCAAATTCTCTTTGGGTGGACAGAGAACATGAGTCAAAACTTTGATTACAAAACTTTGATTACTCTAGGTATCACCGGAAGCTCAAAAGATGTTTCAAAACAAGAAGTAGGAGCAACACCGTAATCGAACTGCACCATAGAAAAGTCTTTTTCTTCTCCACAAATATCATGAACATTCACAACCTCTCATCCGGACTCTATATCACTCCTCATGTGAGCATCCCAACTCTCGGTAACACCGTTCTCATGAATGTCTTCTTGGATGATGTTGTCACTCTTCACATAAAAAGGAATATCATCCTCAAGGAGTGAATCAAAGAAATCCAAATCTACCACATAAGAGTGGATCGGTGCATGTGTACAAGAGGGGTAATCTTGCTTGTGTAGTGGGACTTCTTCATTATGAACATCGCCCCCACTCTCTTGGAACGTGTGATCATCATTTCCCAACTCATCTTCAATACCCAAACCTTATAGTAGCACCATCATCATGACTGATCGGCTCCATGCCCTCATCAGGTGTTGAGACTAATGGTAAATCAAACGGCTCGGGAGTTTCTGTATGAAGATCACAGTGATATGTGACTTCATCAGTTACAACTTGTACCGTTTGAAACTTTTTCCTGTATTCTTGGAAAAACAACTCGACACTACTATCTTCTTGTTCATCTTCAAACATAGGTGGATCTTCAAAAGCATCAAGAAGTGTATCATCCATCATACTCCCACCTTCGCAGTCTGACTCAATGCCATGATCATCCCTATTGGTCTCCTCAGGTTGGGCTTCTGTGTCACTAGGATGGGATTTCTCAGACTCCTCAGATTGAGTTCCTGCCAGCTGATTCATCAAGCTATTTATATCCCACATTATGGCTGAAGTGCTCTGCATGATACTCTCTTTGAACTCAGCCAGACTCTCTGAACAAGAAGATATAGGAAGTGGCTCATTATGAGGCAAGGATGTAGGAATGACTGAAACATATGTGTTCCTACTTGTGGGGAGGATGAAGTGGGGTATGCAGATGCCCAGTAAGGATGGTCATAAGGAGGTTTAACGGGGCATAAAGATATATGGTGACATCCTCCACAGAAGAAACAAATGCTATTGTTAGGTAGAATATGATGAGAAAATTGAGATCAGAGGGATTGTGTGGTTGTAGAAGAGTTTTGTGGATAAAAAGACTGAAAGTTTTGTGGTGTAGAAAAGTAATATTGGTGAGGAGCGTAATATTGATGATGAAGGTAAGGAGGGTATGACGTATATGGAGAATATTCCGTGGAGGTTTGGGGGTAAGGTGTTCCTTCAGGAATTGAGATGAATGGGTTCATCACATGCCTCTTTAAAAAAATACCTGAAAGGTTAGCATAGAAAAATCCTACAAAAAACTAAGAAAACTAACTAAAAAAATTCTCGCTGAAATTAATTAACCCTTAAAACCGACATCGTCCCCGGCAACAGCGCCAAAAACTGATGTGAGTTTTCTCGCACTTAAAATAGATCGTAGAATAGTGGTGTAAGTACGAGTATCGTCTCCACAGGGACAGTAAAAGGGAATCAGGAAATTAAATTCAGGGAATAAAAAGAAATAAAATGAAATAAATTGTGCGAGAATGGTTGGATTAGAAAATTAAAATGCAATTAAACGAATAAAATAAATTGGGTTCTTTCTAACTAATGACGAAGGGAACATGGATTGATTCCGGAGTAATCGGATTTCTGGCTGATCAAGCTTAATCACATGAAATTAATTTAATTGAGCCTCGGTAATCATTACTTAGTTCTAACCGCTCTCGCGGCGTAGAGTACAATAATTTAGGGAACCAGACTGATCTGTCATGTGACAGGTATCTAAAATTATTGCCAAAAAGAACGAGCGTACGTCCCCTTAATCGTTACTAATCTCTTAGCGAACGATTAAGTGTGTGTGAATGTTAGATCTCTCTTAATTTATTCTACATGCAATTATAATCCTAGGGGTCATTCTAGGTTACAAGAGATATCAATTAAATTATTCAAACACAAATTAAATCAACATTCATGCAATTAATCCATCACGAGTTTAGCCATACATCATGATTGAAGGGATAATTGAAGAATCAAGATTCAAGAAGAAACTTGAAGAATCAATAGAATTGGAGAACAGAATTGAAGATAGCCAATGAAGGGATAAGTTTTACTAAAGGGATAAGTTGCAGCTTAAGTTTCTTCATCAATCCCAAATTCCTAAATAAAACTTACTCACAACTCATAATTGAAGAATCAATAGAATTGGGAAGAATAGAATTAATCGTCATTAATTAAAAAGTAGGAACTTACAAATAATCCAAGGGAATTGAAGAACAAGATGGAAAAGTAGAAGAAATTTCGTCTCTAGACCTCTCTCTAAGCTCCGTCACCCTCCGTCACCCTTAAATGGGAGCATAGAGGCCTTATTTATAGAAAAAGAGGCAAAATTCGAATGAAACTAGGCTTTCGGACCCACACACGGTGCTACGCACGGTGTGCGTGGCGTCCTTGTGTCCGGAACAAACGCGCGTTTCGCGCCCACGCACGGCGTGCGTACCCTCCAGTTGCTTCCTCGCTTCGGCTCTTATGCACGCACGGCGTGCATACTCAGCACGCACGGCGTGCTTGACTGGCAGTAGCTTCAGAGTTGTTTCCTCTCCGAATTTGACAATGCTTCCTTCATGCAAGTTGTAGCTAATGAAGCCCTCTATCCACCACAACTTGCAAAACTGGATTTGGATCATCCAATTAAAAGATATGAATAAAACGGTGGAATGTCGCATTCTGAAATCGCAACAGCGATCATCTGACTTCTTCGTCTGTTTTCACCTTTCTCCTCTCCGATTCTCGGAATAGTGTCTTGATATGATTTGTAGATGTTGAAGTTGGCTTTCACATGGAACTCGAATAGTGTCCTTTGGATGTTTCTACAAAAAGATATGCTTGAACGATTGACAGAAGATCACCCTGAATTCCGTTTTGAAGCTCTATTCATCTTCATTTGATCTCGTAGTCACTCCTAGAGCTCTCTTGTTGTGAAAACTTCGTCGTAAACCTTCCGGTGATCTCTAAAACTCTCTATTCATTCTCAAATGCATCTCGAATCATCCCGATTGCTTCTAAAGCGCTGGTGCTGGGCTCAAATCCCTGATTTTGACTCCAAACAATACAAAACTCGTACCAACGCCCGGTAAACATGACTTGAACTAAAATTGAGATTTAAAACCCTTAAAGCTAGGAAAAATCATCAAAAGCTGATCCCAACACGCATCAAATGCGTGTTGTAATACACATACACTATATTCCTGTTGACTGAGACCCGGACTTTATCCTAAACTCTATCAATGATCCATTTACTAGTGTCTTAATTTCATTTCAGACAACTCTACGTGTATGGGATGTGTTATTCTATGAAGGAGCAAAGGTCATGTTTCATGTGGCATTGGTAATTTTTAAGGTGAATGTTTTTTGTATCAAAATCACTCTTAAGATGACCTTTTGTGATTATCATTCATGTTTTTTCAACCATTTGCATCTTGAGCTTGAAAGTTTGAGTTGGGTGAGAAAGATTGTAAGTTTTCCAACAACTGTAGATGAATGAGGAGGAGTTGCTGTTGACGCATCATGTTGGGGATGTGATCAACATCATACAGAGAAGCACTCGGCACTTGTTTGATCCTGACGATTTGATAACGGTAATGCTTTCTTTGCCTAAGCTCTGATCCCCATATTAACGAATATATGAGGATAGTTCAACCAACCAAAATAAGAAGAAACCCATTTTAAGTTGTTTGGCAGAAATTTCTGCAAGTGATAACGGTTTCCTTAAGGTATTAATTTCAAGAGCTGCTCACTCATGATTATGAAAACTGATTCTGCTTAACAGTATATTCTTAAATATTTAGGCCCCGTTTGGCCGCTTATTCTGCTTATCAGCAGAAAAAGTAGCCTTTACCAAGCTTATTTGAGATTCAGCCATTTGATGCAACCTTTTCCAAATGGGCACTTAATTCCAGAATCATGCAACAACAGTTGATTCTCTTTGACATAAAGAAAAATCATTTACAAAAACCTTTAAAGTAATCAATTCTCATCGCAGATTCAGGTTCTGATTCTTATTCAGACTCATAGAATTAGAATCTGATTTATCTTTCCATCAAATCTCTCCGTACAAGATAGTTTTTTATTCTTGTGTAATTAGTGGTAGCGTTTTGTATCATTCTCAGAAAAGTTCAAATCTTATTTTCTTAGGGAATGTATGTATGTTGCAGGTTGCTTTTGAAAAGATCGGTTTTATGACAACCACCAACATATCGAAGCAGAGGAAAAAACAGGAGTCAGCAGTGATGGCAGAGCTAGATCAGAGATGTAGACGGATACATTCCTTGAATGGCACCGAGGATTAGTGAGTTCTTGCTGTATCTCCAACATGACATGGTTGGTTATCTACTTACTTATCTGGACAAACACGCACTGCTATGGGAGGTCATGGAATTGTGTGTCAAGGACAGGGAACAGATTCAAGGAGGCCTGTTTGTAGGCATCAAAATAGCGAAGCTGTTCAACTTTTTATGACCAACTCAAAATGTAGAATGGGTGCTACCTGTCTGAGAGGAGTTGAGAATCTCTTGCTTGCCGAGCAAACAATCACACTTCATTTCTTTAAACAGTTCCAAAGACATCTTTACGACAAGTACATAATCATTGCCTTGCAAAATGGAAACCACATTTGTTTGAAATGGAAGAAATTCTCTGTTTTCTTAATTCACGGAAGCATATGATATGGACTCGAGGCCTAAAGCTTCCTACTATTGTCTGTCGAAATGTAAACGTTGTTTTTTTTTAAAGTCAATTATGATTTTACATGGCATTTGACATTATAAAGCAATGCAAAAATTATGAAGAATAAGTTATGAATATAGTAATACGCTGGATAACTTTATTACAAAACCGAATAAATAACAATACTCCAATTTGGGCAATTTATCCCCTTATGCATGTGGCCATGTGGGCGTGGTCAAGTAATCAAATTTCAGTTAACCGATCTTTGATTAATTCAGATTTCAATTATTCAAATTTAAATACTACTCCATTAGGCTTGGACTCGGGTCGGGCCACCCGGCCCGTGGACCGGCCCGGCCCGCTACTGTGCGGGATCGGGCCCGGCCCGGTTCTCGGTTCCGGGTCCGGGTCGGGCCTAGGCCTGGGGGGTAGGGCGGGTCCGGGCTCGGGTCTGAATTTTGGTGAACCGGCCCGGCCGGGTCGGGCCCGGGCCAAATTGATTTTTTTTTATTTTTTTTTTCATTTTTGGGCTTCCACCCGGGTTGGGCTTGATGGGTAGGACCGTAGGATGGGTTTGGGGGGGTTTGGGAGGGGATGGGGGTTAGGAAAGCAAAAAAAAAAAAAAAAAAAAAATCCAACCCGGAGGCCCGGTCCGGTCCCGGGTCCACCATTCTTGAACCGCCGGCCCGGCCGGGCCTAGGCCCGACCCGGACCCGGCCCGGACCCGAGTCCACCCCTGTACTCCATATTATTTTCACCAGAATGTAGGTTAACTGATATTGGTTAACCACAATTAAAGTTGACCAATTAACCATGCAAAAATAAAATTATAAACATTTGTCTAGTTAAAGAAATGCCAAGGATTAAATAGAGTTTTGGTTCCTACATTTATGACACTTTGCTTTAGATCCCTGTAATTGTATTATGCATCATTTAGTTTTAAGTGCATCTCTAACTTAAAAACCACCCTGTTTACAAAAAATAGGGTTTAATACACCAACCCCTGTGATATAGAAATTCACCGCATTAGCCTATGTGATTTGAAAAATGCATCAAACCTCCATGTGTTTTTATTAATCATGCACATAATCCTTTTTATGAATAAATTTAATGATTTTGAAATCACTTTTCCTAATATTCTGATTGAATATGCAAGTAAATATGTCAAAATCTCTAAATCATACAAATATGTTAATCAATTTTCTTTTATTTGACAATTGAATTTGTTCTTAGAAGGATTTTGCGCATAATTAATTAAAACACAAGGGAGTTTGATGTATTTTTTTAAATCATAGGGAGCTAATGTGTTGAATTTCTATATCACAGGGGGTTTGGTGCATTAAAGCCACAAAAAGGCTAAAATAGGGTTCTGAACTATGCATAAATCTACTAGAAACTTTTAAATTTATTTTTTTTATAATTTTTCTTAGCTGATAAGAGAGTTAAAATAATGTAAAACTAATTATTTACATTTTTCAAATATGAATTAAAAACCTTCTAAAAACTAAAATTAAATATTTTTTGAATAACATTATAAAAGAATTAGAGGAAATATTATAGCCAGGGTTGTTCGTTATCAAACGAAGCTCGTTATCATCGATAGACTAAAAAGAAAATCAACTTAAATTTCATGGATGAAAAATAGAAAAATAATTTTGAAGGGAGGTAAAACAAAATGTATTATATCTACAGGGACTTAGAAAGTATTTAAACCAAATAACAGGGACTAAAAACGTAGTTAAACCAAATACAATGAACTTTTTTTATCATAAAAGAACGACTAAAAGAACGGTTGTCATATTAAAATCGAGAACAAATACTAGACAACCTTCAGACAGAAATTACAGATCCAATCGTGAATCGTAGGAGTAGACTTAGAGTCAGCCACCTCATACAAATCAACATGACTCGCTAAACCTGAAACAAGCAAATTTTGGTTTAAAACGATCGGAACCAAAACTCTGCCTATCAAAAGAACTCCAAAAATCCAAACATTCAAACCAAATCTACTCGGACTAAAACAGAAAAAAGTGTTACTAAAGAGAAAATAATATTGAAATAAAATCCTTCCACAAAGCTCTTTCTGGTATGGTGGTGGTTCCGGAGGAGGACGAGCTCTTACAATATGGATGATCACAAACTCCACCACCGTCGGAATGACCGACCAAAGCTTCATGATCTTGCCTTGATACAACCTCTAAGCCGCACCTCGTTCATCTGCCAACGCTATCTTCTCTGACATAGTTGCAATCCCAAGCATTAGAACACTTACAAGTAGTATAATCTGCCGCTCCAACCCCATATTGATAGGGGCGACGGAAAATCTCAACCCCTACAAAGAGGGGAGACGGCCGCTAGGGTTTCTCTATCTCTAGAGAGAAGAGAGAACCCAAATACAATGAACTTAGAGTTTGAAACAACCTAATGTTATATAAAAGTTCATACAAAGATGAAAAAAGTGGAACAATGTAAGCTTTTCAACTCCAATATTTTAAAAAGGAAAAAGTACAGAAAAGTATTTGTGGTTAAACACGTTTTTAGATAGAATCATGTGTTTCATTTTTAACAAACTCAGTCATTTGTATAACTCTGTTATCATAGGAGAGGCCTGGCGCCTAACGCCGTTAAAAACGCCGGAGGAAGACAATGAATACTAACTCCGATTTTCAAAAGTGCCCGAAAAAGAAATACTGGAAGGTGCACCTCGTTAAGATGACCTCCAAATCATCCATGTCTTTGAATTTTTGGACCTGCTTGGATTATTATTTTTAAAATGAATTTACTAATATCACTTTTCCGGCGGACTTTCCGGTGACAAGGGTGGCTAGAAACAAAAAATAAAAAAGATGACATATAAGTCGTCTTGTTGAGGCGCACTTTGCATTATTTTTCTTTTATTTTTTCGGGAATTTTTGAAAATCAGAGTTACTTTTCATCGTCTTCTCCGACGATTTCTAACGGTGTCAGACGTTAGGACTTTCTTATGATTGTTGAGTTTAAGCACATGATCCACTTTATTAAAATTGAAACACATGACCTTATCTGAAAACCGGCCTAATCACATGTACTTTTTCCGTACTTTCCCCTTTTGAAAATGTAAATTCTCAAACTACAATATATGTTTTTCTTGTTTAAATTATGTGTGCTCTATCAAAATCACAACAATCATTTATTCGATGATATTTGATCATAATAAGTGTTAACGAATTAAAATTAGGTCAAACAGACTAACAAGACTAGTTTTTTTATCAAACTTAATTCTTTTTGCTCTCAATCTTATAACACAAAAATATATTCATACCTTTTCAATACTCTGAACTTAACATCCTATCACATAACACTATCTACCCACAATTTAAATTTTGATTGAAACTCATACGTAGTAGTTGTTTATACAAAAAATATATATATTCTAAAAGAAAACTATTTTCAAATTGTATTATGGAATGGAGTATACTTGATGTTTCAGCTTCTTCACCACTAGTGCCTCTCTTTGCACTAGTGTTGTTCAGAAGACCTGTTAGCGAATTGGTATATTGGTGATTTCATTCCTTTTCTTTTAACATAGAAGCACCTCTTAATTAATGTTGGTCATGAAAACATTTTTTCCACATGTACAACCAAGAAACTTAACTTTTATTTTATAAAAAAGAGTAATTTCCTAAACCGAAGTAATTATTATCATGTTTATAAAATACCGTTAAGTATGATAGTATACTACTCCCTCCGTCTCAATTTGATTTGCAAAATTTCCTATTTTGGTTGTCCCAAAATGATTTTCCATTTTCTATTTTAGGTAGGTAAATAAGAATAAAGTGACAAATCTATCCTTACTTTTACTTTTTCCCCATTAATTTAAAGGATCTACTTTTAGAAAGATGACAAAAGTGTAAAAAGCAAACATCATATATTGTCATTCATTAATTCTTGTATCAATCAAAGTTTGCAATTTAATTATGGCTATTTTAAAGTCCAATAAAGCCAAATTATGGCTCTCATTTTCTGGATGACAATATTGTACTCCTAGAGGCTACAATCCTCCACTTAGATGAAAAACACAATACTCCCATTTTATATGAAATTTCACCTTTTTACACTTATTTCGGCAATTTCAAATTACTTTAAACTCTATCATTTTTGCGAGCTAACGAAATAGTTTATTGAAAAGAGAAAGAAATAATAAGAAAACATAAAAAATGTTTAGAAAGAAAAGATGAAAAGCTTTGTTTGAAATAAATAAAAAGTTAAAGTTAGTCAAAGTTCAATGGAAAATAGAATACACAATCCGAAGAATCATTAGACCATATACAAAGAAGGGTGAAAGCGGTGAATTTTCAAATTTGTAATGTTCACCTCAATAATAATGTAGACATTTCAAGCTATCTATCACCAAAGGAACAAGGATGCTCCTACTTTGACATGTTGTTGGAGGATATTGAGCGTTGCTTAAAACAAAGAGAGATTTAGTCTTTTTTTGGTAGAAGATCTGCGAACCGTGTTGTTCATGTGTTAACTAGGCAAGACGTGTTACTACCAAACCAATATAGAAGTTTTGGTGTTATTCCTGATTGTCTTGTAAGCCAGTTGACGAACAATTTGCTTGAATAATGCTAAACTTTGTTTAATTGTTAAAACACACACCAATGGAACATGAAAACACAAAAACGGGTACGAGAAAGGATAAAATCATAAAACACAAAAACTAGAATAGAGATATAGAGTATATAAATATTAAAAATTATGGGGTCATCTTTAAATAATAAAAAGTGAAAGAATTATTTTGGAAATATATACATATACTATCTTTTGTCAATTCATAACATTGACCCATTTTACATTAATAGTCTAATTCTATATATAAATTTAGTCAATAAATTATTAATTTAGTTACTTCAATCAATTATTCGATATCCAGCCCTTTAATTCAAGGAGTCGGTGCATCAATATTTAATATTCGTAAACGTAGTCCGTATTTATTTTGTTCCTTGAAATCAATTATTCAAAGTCGCTGGACTTTCAGTAACAGCGATGGCTAATCTTCCTCTTAACAAAATAGATAAATACTCTTCGTCTGCCTTCCTTGGACTCGCACTTCCAAGACTCTCTTCGATCTGCTAAGGTTAGCTTCCTTCTCTAATTACATACACATTGGCACCTCTTAACTACAGATATTCTTGCATTGCAGTTTAGATTTTGAGTTGTTTTCCTTTGAATTCTGGATTTTTTGTTCTCGCTTCTTTGTTTTTTTTCTCGAAATTTATGCTGAAATAGCTAAGATCTACAACGTCGATAGGCTATAGATTTCGACTTCAACTAAAGTCCAAATAGTTTTTGTTAATATTATTCTTTCACTAAACAAGCAGCTGAAAGCTAAACTGAATTTCTAGTTTTTGTGGTTGTCATACAGCGTAATTCTTGATCTTTTCCTTCTGTTATTTGGTTCTTGTGGAATGAATTATTGTCCAAATGCTGAGATCTGGAGGTATGGGTACACTGGGTAGTAAGAAATACAGGTAGGGACATTTTCGCTTGATTTGATTTTATTCTCTTACCAGACATTATGAGATAAAATTCAGGTTAAATCACACTTAAATAAACTAGATCTGAATTAAACAAGCTAAACTGGTTAAATTAGACTGGATCAGAATTTTTTTCAAAAGATCCTAAATGTGTTTTACCCCATTCCTAAAATATACTCTTCGGTCTCATAAAATTCTTCTCACTTATTATTTTGAAATGTTCCAAAAAATCTTCTCATTTCCTTTTTTGGAAAGTTTTGTGTGATTAATATTTATTTACTTTCTCTTACTCAACCAGAACCATACATTTTCACTTTATTTCCATTTTCTTAAATTGTGATATTTTCCTGGACTTTGATCCAAGTCAAACCGGGAAGAATTTTAAGGGATGGAGGGAGTAATAGTTTTTTAGTTTTTATTGCAGGTTTGTTAGCATGTGGTTTGGGCTTATATAATTTTGTGAACTAAACACTATTTTTATCAGCTTGTTAAATTTGTCCAAAAGCAAAAGAAATCAGGGTTTCTTGTATTCATTTGGCAGAAGTTTCCGAAAAGAATCATCATGCATTTCTATACTTTCTTCTTTATTTTATCATCAAAATAGTCCCATGTCCCTAAATGTGATGCAACTTCATTAATCATAGATTAACATATGTCCTATTTATTCTCTGATTTTGGTATCAAACTGTTATCATATATCAATTGGTCTTTCGGCTTCAACTCAACATATATAGTGTAATTGTTGGTACAGATTTAAATTAACACCAACCTGTTATTAGCGGAGAGTTAAATTATTGTCGGTTAAGCTTTGCTCATAAATCTGTTACATAGTTTTTTGCCATTTTTTGGCAAGTTCAAAAAGTCATCTGGAAGAGGGCTCACCAAAATTGGGGGCCCCAACTTTATTTAATATTAGTATCATAATATAGAAATATTATACAATATTAACATGTAGTTATTTTAAAGAGAAATTACCCAAAATAGGACTAAAAACGTTTGTATATTCCAAAATAGGATTATCATGTTTTTATTCCCAAAATAGGATTAATTACTGTCATGTTTTGGCAGTACCAGACTTTAAACATGACAGTATTTTCCAAACTTGGTAGGAATTACTCCTATTTTGGGAACAAAAACATGGCAGTCCTATTTTGGAATTTTCAAACTATTTTACTCCTATTTCGGGAATTTTCCCAATGAACACTTGAACACAATTAATAATATTGTTGAACTATGTGAGTTTGTTATTATGTGTTTTTTATTTTTATTCATACATGAGGCCTCGGATTTGAATTTGGAACTGGGGCCTCCAAAGTCATTAGACGACCCTGTTAGGATGGAATTAGTATTTGGAATGTATTTTTTTCACAATTTGTTCAATGAAGCCACAACTTTAGTAATTTCATTTTAGCCATTTTAAGCCTTACCAAAATGAATCCTACTGAATTTATGAGGCATTGGGCTGATTACTTTGGTGAGAAGGGTGAATGCTTAGTGCAGTAAGATTTTGGGGTCGGCTAACATGAATCGATATATGATATCGTAACTAAGATTTTGGGGTCGGCTAACATGCTCATTGCTATCCTTGTGTTCAAAATTTCATAGCATTCTCTGTATAAATTCTATATACTTGAGGTAAACAAGAAGACCATTTATCTGTTTTTTATTTATTGAGATATTGATTAGGATCTTGCAAATGCAGGCACTCTAGTCTCCGCTGTTCATCCTTTCAGAACACAGAGGGGGGAAAGAAAGAGAGAGATGGAAAACAATGTTGTAATGTTTGCAATTGCTAGCCTGCTGATCTTCTTCTCATCGTCAATAAACGCCCAAAGTAGAATCTCTGTGTCTCCTGCACCGGCCCCAGCAGCCCCAAAGCTTGTGAACCTTACCGATTTGCTCACTCATGCCGGCCCATACGCCACATTCCTTAACTACGCCCAGTCCACAAAAGTCATACAAACGTTCCAAAACCAAGCCAACAACAGTGATCAAGGAATCACTCTCTTTATCCCCAAGAACGAAGCCTTCAACAACCAAAAGAAACCATCCCTCTCTAACCTGACCACTGACGAGCTGAAATCTCTCATGCTTTTCCACGGAGTGGCCCAATATTACACTCTTGCTGACTTCAATAACCTCACCCTACTCAATACATTTTCCGGTGATGCTCTGAATGTCTCTGATGTGTATGGTACGGTGCACCTCAAATCTGGATGGACGACAACCAAAATCAGCAGTTCAGTGCTTGCTACTCGTCCTGTTGCGATTTATGAGGTTGACAAAGTTCTTCTTTCGAAATCCATCTTTGGGACAAATATACCCCCAACCCCAGCACCAGCACCATCACCGGATGCTTCTTCTCGCCCTACGCCTGCTGCTGATGCTCCAAGTTCTCAGGAAAGCGATTCATCATCGCCTCCTGCTTCTTCACCTCCGTCCTCTTCTCACAAGGTTATGATGAGCTTTGGTCCTTTCACACAGGTGGTATTGGCAATTGCTGTTGCATCTGCATTCTTGTAAAATTTTATGTTCCTCTTTACTTGTGCAGTTATGCCAATGTGAGAGAATACTACGTATTTATGTTTGCCCCATTCATATTGGTTCACTTGTTCCCCATTCTTTTTTTTTTGAGAACTCATTTGAGGTATTCATTTTACTTGTCTGAGGCATATGCCATATATACATATACTTCTGTAATATATACATATACTTTTGTCTTGAGTAGGCTTGGATAATAAGAAAATAAATAAAACCCAATTGGAATAAGAAAATAACACCCTTAATTATGATGAACCTATCAGGATGTTTTTACTTGGACTGTAATTTGTTGGTCTTATTTGGTATGATCTGTTTAAGTCTGGTCTGATCTGAAGTTTGGTCTGGTAAACGTCTGCTCTCTGTGTATTTTATAACTATGGAAGTCAAGTCTGGTCTGGTTTGTTCTGTTTAAGTCTGGATTGGGACTGAAAACAGTTGAAGTAAAAACATCCTTTTTTATCATCAAAACAAATCACTTATATTAATATCATTAGAAATCAGATCGTTACAACAAACTCGAAAAGATCAACACTGACAACAACATTCCCTAACCAATTAGCACTATCAACCCTACGACTAGACTCAGAGATGATCACCCCTCTAAGAGTAATATGAATCGTTAACAATCAAACAAGTGTGACACATCAATCACTGGCCAAATAGATCCTTCTAATGGCATAATATCTAGCAGAATTGTCAATCATTATTGTAGACATAAAACTAGGGATGGACTCAGGTCCGGGCCGGGTCTGGGTCAGGCCTAGGCCCGGGCGGGCCGGCGGGTCAGAAATGGTGGACCCAGGACCGGCCCGGGTAACTACCGGGTTCGGTCCGGGTCCAGTCCGGGCCCATTATATTTTTTTTTTGTTTTCCTCTTCCTAATTAACCTCCCTCCCACCCCATCCCCCAAATGGCCCAAAATACCCAGCCCAACCCGAAAATTTAAAAAAAAATTGGAAAAAAAATAGTTTTTGGCCCGAACCGGGCCCGGGCCCGGCCGGGTCGGGCCTTATTTTGGGTGACCCGAGCCCGGACCGGAAAACCCACGGGCCGGGCCTACCCGGACCGGTCACTGACCGGGCCACCGGGTCGGGCCACCCGGCCCGAGTCCATCCCTACATAAAACTAAAGACATCAACAAAAAAACAGAGCAATGTAATAGTTTTAGGTAGGGATGGACTGGGCCGGGCCGAACCGGCCCGGAACCGGACCAGCCCGCTACTGTACGGGCCCGGACCGGACCGGGCCCGGTTGGCCGGTTCCGGACTTTTAGCCCGTGTGGGCGGGTCGGGCGGGCCGGGCTCGGGCCCAGTTTAAGGCGAACCGGCTCGGGTCATTTTTTTTGTTTTTTCAATTTTTTTTCTTTTCCTAGGGTTGGGCTGGGTGTTTTGGGGAGGTTTGGGGGGTGGGGGTGGGGGGTCGGGGGATAACAAGAAAGCAAAACAAAAAAAAAAAAAGTATTGAATCGGGCCCGGCCCGGCTAGGCTCGGACCCGGTAGCAACCCAGGTTGGTTCCGGGCCCAAGGAATTGCAAAAAAAGCCCATGGCTGTGGTCTAAGGGGGGTAGACCGTCGATCTCTCTTCTCCCTTGCTGAGTCCTTCACCTCTCCCCATCTTCTTGTCACCCGTTCCGCCTCCACTACCACCACCGACCTCTACCCATGTTGATTCAGCAGAAACTAACCATTCGACCTCCTCAATTGCAGAAACGAGACAACGTTGCTCTAGATCATTCATAGAAGACATGATTATCGTTTCTTGAACCTTGGATTTGTTTCCAAAAGCTGCAACCGCACTCACGCCTCCTTTAAGATTAACTTGCACAAATCGAGAAAAGAGATCAGAAAACAAATGTGAAATCTTGCCGTTGCTTCGAGATCCAATGGATAATCTGAAAGTCGCCTAAATCCCAAAACCAGCACCATCAAGGCCACAATCGAAACTTATAATGCACTCTAGAAGCCTAGAGAAGAAGAGTCGCACAACAATTGACGGAAGGAAAACCCTACGTGACGGCACATTTTAGGGCAATTCTATTCACCGCCCTAAAATTACTAATCACAGCCATTAAATAAATAAAAAAAAAAACTAATATCTAAACTACCCTTTATCTCAATGGGTGAGAAACGCAAGGTTGGTGAAATACTATTAACCATGAATATAATCTGTCTTCTTTATCCTCTTTATTCATGCTAAGTTGATCCCGTGAGGAGCCTCAGCCTGCAACTCGGCCAGAGCAACAGAGGCGACACTGAGCCCTTCCCTCGACCGAGAGCTCCTCCCCTCTCACCCAGACGGCGGCGGTGATCAAAGTTTCTTCCCCTCATCCAGCAACGCTGGCCGGCAGCACCCCAGGGCAGAAGGACCTGGATTTGACTTTCGTTTACATCTACTCCAAGCCCAATACGCTCTGGGTCTTCATCCAGTTGTGCAGCAGTGAGGACAAATGAGGCTAAGTAATTAGAGATTTGGGTCGCTCGGCCAACTTTGACAGTCAAAATTGATAGAGAGAATCCAAATCCAAAGTAATTGGTGGAAGGAATCCAAAGATTTTGCATTGAAAATCAACTTTCTTGATATCTAATTGCTCACAAACTATTTTATTGCCGGCAAAAATTCTTACTCGAAAAGCCCACCACAATTCTTATCATCTCTTCAACCGGGAGAGATCAATTCCTACCCAGCTATTCTCAATCGATAAAAAGTCCTATGACAAGAATGGTAGACTTAGAATCCCCTGTTTTGCTCGCAAAAATGGTATAGCGAGGGCATTAATTATACAATGATGGATGTACACATAGTAGGAAAAAGTGTCGGCAAGAATAAAAATCTAATCAACATCACTTTGGATTGCAATGAAGAAGGGAAGGTCCATTGGGATGAGGTGTAGCCATCTTTATACAAATTGATTTCCATTATTGTTCCAAAAGGTGGAAGCTCCCACCCGACTCGACAGGATGGTGGAGAGGTTAGTCACGGTGACTCAGTCAGCAGAATGACAGTAGGCTCATACACTCATGCGCACCAGAGGTACAGACTTATTTCAGGTTCTGTGACCTCCACCCGATCACTGCGGGAATTCGAACCTTTGTTCATTGTTCCAAATCTCTCACCACTCGACCAACTGAACTACGAGTGCGAGGTAAATTGATTTCCATTGTATAACAAAGCTTTGCTGCATCGCCCTTTGATATGCCGAGTGCGGAGACCGTGTTAAATTAATAGTAAGGGTGTAATGGGATTTAAAAAAACATGTGGCTGTATTTAGTAAATTTGGGTTTGTAAATAGAATTTCCCCACATTTTATTCGTCAGCCCAACTGTAGGAGATATTCCCGGCCCAACATCTAACTACAAGAAGCAGCATCGGCCCAACAGTGACTACTCCGTATCATTATCATTTCCATCATCATAAAAGCAGTCGCAGCACAAGTCTTCCCAAATTATTACACACCAATTCTTTGTATCGCTTTTTTTTGGCATATAGTACCAATCCTTCATCTTCTCCAAGCCAGGTAGGGGTTGGGCCAGGGGGTCAGCAGCAGCGGGATAACCTTCAATTTCATAGTCAAGACCGAAAACTTACATACAGAGTGGAGTATAAATATATAAGAAAACAAAAATAAGTTTAAATGTTCCTTACAAAAATTAATATTGAATTAGTAAAACACAAATAAGGTATGAATAAATTAAGGAAAAATAATTAAAATACCTCAAACTTTGATGGATGTGAAATGAATACTCCAAACTTGCATATGTAATTTAAATAGCCCAAACTTTATATAAAAAGTTATTTTAGCACCATAGTCAAATATTATTTATTTCAAAAATGTAAATTTATGGTGTTAATTGCATAATTTAAAATATTTTAGAATTCATGGAGACACAATTAATATTTTAAACTTCCATTGCAAAATAAATAATGCTACCCTCAATCTATATAATTGCAACACTTTTAATTTGCTATTTTAAATTATACAATTAACCCTATAAATTTACATTTTAAAAATTATGTAAAAGAACTTAATTATTACTTCCTCTGTTCCACTAACAATGAGATAAGAGTGAGTGTCACGTGAACTAATAAAAAGTGGTTTATATGTTGATATTAAATTGATAAATTAAGAATAAAGTAATAATGATTTAGAATCACACAAACTTCGCCAAATTTAGTATGTGACAATCTTAATGACATGGATCAAAAGGGTAAAATATCACAATTTTAGCGGGACAGAGGAAACATTAAATGTATATGATACTCCTTCCGTCCCACAAAACTTAGCCAAAGTTGATTTTCGCGTAGATTAATAAAGTAAAAACTGCGTGGTTGAAATTTGTACAGAGGAGACATAAATAATTTTACACTACAACAAAACCACGAGATTGACAGAGATTTTGGCAAGAATTTGACAGGGATTTTGGCAGAGAAATGCCAAATCAGTGCCAAAAATACTTTGACACGAGCTATTTGGCACGAAAAATCGGTAAGTCCATGCCAAATTCCGTGCCAATACCGTAGTTTTTTTGTAGCGTTAACCACATATTTCTTACTTTAAATGAAAATGAAAAAGTTTTCTGAGATCAAAAAATAAAATTTGACTAGAAACAAAGAGAGTGTGTGACAAAAATAAAGGACGAATAACGTAATCAATAAAGAAGCTAATACCCAATGATCTATAACTTCACAAAATGAGTTTAATTGCGCGCACATATACCTAAAGGCTTTTGTTGAGGAGGCGTCGTTTCTAGTTTCTACCACTTCAGTTTCCATTCTCATGATTTGGGGGCGGATATACGACGACGACATTGTTGTTTATTAATTCCTTCAATTTCACTTTCTTACTGGAGTGTATATATCCCATTAACCTATATATTGCCGTATATATACTGTCTCCATTTCTGTTAAATACGGTACAAAAATATGATTGTCCTGGACAGAAGAAATTAGGAACGCAAAAACGGTGTGAAATGAATAAAATTACTCCGTGTTTAATTAAGCCTTACGGCGGGCGGGCGGGTACATACTACCCAACAGCACAATGTTTCGTATCTAAAGTAAAAACACATCCCTCAATAATTAGAGGAAGGATGATGATTAGCTTATGTCCTTGTTTCATAATATGGTTTATCAGCCAATTTCACTAATTATAGGTTATCTAAATTAAGTGTTTGGTAAGTAACAGCTTCAAGTGGCTCTTTAATCCAACAAGCTGAATCTCCAACACGTTGCTAGTTTGCTACCAACGACTTTTCCGCTTGACTTTCTTACTTTTTTAATTTTCTTTTGTTTTCATTCTATTGTTACAATATTATGAGTTGCTGTCTTGTTGTCTTATGAGTTGCTCTTATTTTTGTTTAGTTTAATTTCTTTCGTAAATGTGTTGGCTCCTATTTCCTTATTCCGCATTATCAGTTGTTATTATTTTGTTTTTGTTATTGTCAATAATAAATACATGATTAATAATTATAGTATTATTGTCAATATATTTTAAGAATAACGACACAAATATTACCTATTGCTTTGTGAAATACAAAAATATTGAAGGTGTTTGGAACCGATTCTGCTTCTGCTTCTTTTTTAAAGCAGAAGCAGAATCAGAATCAGTTTTCAAAGTTGCAAAGTTTTTTTGGGACAAGAAAAAATGAAAGCTGACAAAGTCCAGTAGGACGGAGGGAGTATCATTTTATATATAAACAAATAAGTGACTGACGTGCACTTTGTCGTGGTGTGCACTCCAAAATAATAATTACAATACTACCACTTATACGTAGTATAGTGAAGTAGAGTTCGTATCCATAGAGAGGAATAATTCTCTTTTTATGAAACTAGTAAATAAAAGGGGGGTTTGGGGATTGAATGATTTAATTTAAAAAACTAAGATGAACAACCTATATGTGTTTTAATTCAAAGATAAAAGAACCTGGCATTGCTACTTTCCGTTTATTGATATATTTTAGTCGATCATCGTTATATCTATAACTTTGTCCCCCTCGAATACTCAATCGAGGAGAATATCCAATTCATCGAGGGTAGTTATTAACAACGACCGTTCATTAATAACCCTTACTATTAGTCAAGTATAGAACACCGCCATATATCGACTTGATAGTAGCATTTAATCTCTTAACTCCTTGATGAAATCAATTGAGATTGATAACCTCAACACAACGGTTTCGGTTTAACCAACAAAATTAATCCCTCTTAAGTTTATCAACCACAACCGTTCATTAATAAACCGAAGTTACTTACTTGTGAAACTGATGGAGAATATGGCCAGGGAACCCCCGGCCCACAGACTCCTACTACTCCAATGAAGGCCCAACAGGCCCAGAAAGCACAACAGGCCCAAATCACAGCGCCCAGGGTACCAAGCAGCCCACAAAGCGCACCAGGGGGTGCCTTCGGCCCCCTGGCCGAAGGCTCTAACTCTCACAGGAGGGCCAAGACAGGAAAACAAAGTTACTGGGAAAAACGACGAAAATCAGTAGCCCTCGGCACCTGGAGCCCTCGGCACTAAGGAGGTCCCCGGTACTCAGAGCCCTCGGCTAATCATCTACAGCCGAGGGCACCTTTTCCGACATAATATCCACTCCACATGCTTATGAATCACCGTATCCTGAGCAACGTCCCATCCAACAGCCGCATTAAATGCGGCCACATGCGTTTGCCAGTGCCAACCAGTTGAGGTGACCTCTCGGCCAATGGACGCTTGACACGTGTCCCTGTCCGGCATTTATTGCTACTATAAATAGCACCCCATTTCCCCATTTGTAACCAGGTCACAATACACACGCTGCATACTTTCTAATATACTTTCTCTCTCTATTTACTTGCTCTGACTTCTCTCTAGTTATTCTCCGCAATAACCCCTCGGATAAGCTACCCCCGGGTACACTATCCATCATTTGGTGCTCTCGTTGAGAGGTTGAACAATCAAGTAAGAAACCCTCCCCCTCGACCAAACACAAAACACCCAGCTAAAATGGTGAGAACAACTCGTGCCAACTCCAAGAACGTAGAGGACAGGAACCTGGCCCTCGGCGAGGTCGACGTCCCCGAAGCCTCTAACAGGGCTCCCGGAGGCGGCGTCATCGCCGGGTTGGACCAGACGACTGTCGACCTACGCCAGCAGATTCAACAAAATGCCCCCGATGCCCGCCTCGGCATCGAGGCCAAGAAAAAGGACCGGAGCGAAAATCAAATTAGCCCTCCGGTCATCACCATCGACGTTCAATCGGCGCTCTCCGCCTTCATCCAGATGCTCACTCAGAACCCGGGTGCCTTCGGCACTTTGGTTCCCCACCAACCTCAGGTCGGGGAGAATATTATGCCTCCCCCTCATCCACGACCCCTCGGTAACCCGGTCCTCCGGATGGGGAACTCCGAGGGGGTCGTGGCCCAAGATACGGCCTCTCAGGAAGTCCAGCCCCGAGACCGCCACAACATGAACAAGGAACAGCTCCGGACCTCCACCCTCGAGAGACTCGGAGGGGCGCAAGACCGCCGAGGGGTCCAAGACCGCCTCGGGGGGAAGGCGTTCCAAAGGCCTCAAGAAAGTGGCGGGTCCGTCTCCAGGGCCAATGAAAGGCGTCCCCCTCAGGACAAGGGCAAGGCACCTCTCCATGCCGACGGCGCACGCCACCAAATCAATAAGGCCCACTCGGCCCAGGTCCATTCGCAGGGGGCGGAGGCCCTCTCGAAGGACCCCCGGGACGAAATCATTGCGGCCGTCCAGCGCCGGCTTGACGAGATGGAGGCCACCAAAGCCCACGCCACCGCTTCTGCCCCTCCTACAGACCTCAAGTATGAGGCGATGATGGCCAAGATGGAAGAAATGCAGAAGAAGATAGCTGAGGGCTCCGGGGAACCCACCGTATAGCTCCAGACCCGGACGCCATTTACCCCAAGGGTATTGGCGGCCCAGATCCCGGAAAAATACCGAGGGCAGCTCATCAAGCCCTATGACGGAAAGACTGACCCCCAAGAGCACTACAACAGGTATCAAAACAACATGATGATGGTGGGGGCATCGGATGAATATTTGTGCCGCTGGTTCCTCTCCACCCTAGAGGGGCCAGCTTACGAATGGTTCAATCGATTGCCCGAGGGCTGCATTGACTCATGGCAAGAACTCGCCCAGCGATTCTTGACGCAATTTGCGGGGAGGCGCCGCACAAG